TTAAATTTTGAAAATTTTTGCATTATTTATCAAAAAGAGGAGTTGAGGTTAAATGATTTTTTGATAGTGTATGCTATTTGTAAGAATTAATTAGGTTTTTGAAGAACTCATAGCATGATTGAATAAATAATCGTCCAACTTAGAGTGAATTAGTTAAGTTATTTTCGAGGATTGTAGTAACTAAATAGTGTAACTCAAAAAGTGTAACAATAACAAGTTCACTGTAGGGAATTTTACAGGGGGAAACTTCATGCTTTATTAGCATATACAAAACATTCACCAGGATGAAGTTTCTTAAGGCCATGGATATTCATTTCATTTCAAAATAGAATGTGATCAATTTTATGATACAAGAATGATGCCCCATCAAGTATATTAAATTATCATGGATTCTTTTGGACAATGTGTGAAGTGACTCACCATCTTATGTTCTTTCATCCCCATCAAAACCACCTGTTCCATTGACAAATCTTGTTCTCTTGATTACGTGTTTGGGTATAAATTGTTATGGTTATAGTGAAAAAACAATTCTTCTAAACTATATTCAACCACCAAAACATGTCTGAGAAACGTAACACATATCAATAGTGAATTACAAAAGAAGGGGAAAGAACTATAAAAAGGAAAGACGAAACCAGATACCTAAGAAAGGAAAAGGACTTACACTAGCTTGTGGATAAATCAAACAATGGCTTCCCACTAAAGCCTCCAGCTTCTGAGGAAACTGGATTTTTACTAACAGAATTTGGTCTTTGAATCATTGTCTTTGATATGATCTACAAGCCTCAAAATACAAAATGATTAAGCATGCCAAGATTCTCAGTCACCGTGAACACTCAGAATTATGAACTTGAGAGTAAGTCTCTCTCTCTCTCTCTCTCTCGTGAAGGTTGGTTGGGGGTTTTCATGGAAATTTCTACAAACGAGTGGCACTAATTATAAGCATGTTTGGCAAAGTTAAATTTACTTTTGTATACGCTTTTGAAGACCTCAATTTACTCCCCATTTATTGTCCACATCCACAGCTAAAGCACAAGTACATGTAGAGGTGTCAATTCGGGTGGTCCGGGCCGGGTCAGCCCGCCAACTTATGAGCCCGATAATGACCCGCTTGAAAAAAAGCCCGCCCACTATGGGTTCCGGGCCGGTTCCGGGTCGACTCACAAATTTTGGACTACAACCCAGGTCCGCCCGCTGACCCATCCAGGTCGAGCCCATGCGGGTCACGAGTCGCGCAGGTTGCGGTTTGTTCCGATTTGGCCCGTATTATTGTATAAATAAAATTATAAAAATATATA